GGGTGAAGAATTTGCTTACCATGTCTGTTCTTTCTGCTCCCAGAGGGACACAGACCCCTCTAATGGTGAGATGTGGCACATGACAGGTAACTTTGGGGCTTTGAAGCTAGACCTCTGGAACTGGAATCACATTTACTTGCTGTGTGACCTTGGGTAAGTCATTTAACCTCTCTGTGCCTCAGATGCCTTGTCTAAATGGTATCTACCATATAGGGCTGTCATGAGGATCAAGTGGACAAGTAGCACTTCGGGCAGCACTGGGCACATGGTGTCATTGGCAGGTTTTCTCCCCCTTCGTGTCTCTGGGGGTCTATCCTAGCAGACTTTTGTTGACCATGCATTGGCCAATGGAAACCCTGGAAACTGAGCACCCTACGCGTATCAAATCCCTGAGGGGACCGTCCAGAGAGCCTGGCACAGTGATTGTCCCTGTGTTACCTGAGAGGGAGCTCTGGCACCTGCCTCAGCACTGCAGCACCACGGCCACCATGACCAAGTATGATGGGGATGGAACAAGGCCTTGAATCACGCAGTGAGCAACATCGCTTTAAATCTGTTTCTCCAAATCGTGTTATTTTAAATGCCCTGGGCAGATGCCCATGTGTGCAGGGACACTTGGCCGGGCCAGAGGCTCTTTGTCCCCTGAATGGCACCATTGTGACCCCCGAACCGGCCCCGAGTGATTCCTGGAACAACAGGCCCTTGTGTGGGCCCCGAAGGCCTGCTTGCCCCCACCCTCGGCTGGCAGTGCGAACCCTTGGCTGTCTCTTTAAAGTCGGCATGACGAGGCCTTAAATCCTCCGTTTGGGTGGCGGCCAGGGTTCTGATACGAAGTACTTTTTAGAGTTTGGTTCTAGGATGTCGATGAAGCTGAGTTCCTAGAAACTGTGCCCTCTCTGGGAGAAGGGCAGATCCAGTGGGCACCTGCTATGAGCAGAATGGGGGAGCCAGACATTGGTGTTCAGAGGACGACCATATTCGGATGGGGCCAGCCTGCCCTGCACAGGGAAAGTCACCGCAATTCCCCCAGAACCCCGACAAAGCAAGGGGGCCACGGCCACTGAAGTCTCGGCAAGAGTCTCCGAAATTCCTGGTTGGATTTGCTCCACAGCTGTCTTTGGCTGTTTGCCCTCCCGTGATGCGCGCCCTCACCACGTGTTTGTGGTGACCACGGTCTGTTCTGTTCTGCCAGCTTTGGCTCTTGGTCACATCACAGATAGCAGCTTCTTAATCCTTTCTCGGATCCATGGAGGGATTCGGCTCTTTGTTCCGGGACCTTAAAAACACCCAGTTGTTCACCTTTACAAAGGATCAGCTGGACTAGGTGGGCCTTTGGCTCTCTGGAGGCTGCCAAGTGGAACTTGGGAGCCGCCTGGACGGGCATGGTCGTGACTTTGCAGCTCAGAGCAGTCAGTCCCTTTCAATAAGACAACTGAGTCCAGGGCCTGGACTCAGCCACGTGGCCTCCTGCAGACCCTGCCGGTGATCTGGGCTGTCCCAGGTGCCCGCCTCAGCCCCTCGGAAGACCCTTGCGCGCTGGGCTGGTAGCAGGTGCGCCAGAAGGTCTTATGTCACTGTGGCTTCCCCCCAGGTGGGAGGACAGACTTGCATGAGGACGGGTCTGGGCACCCTAGGGCAGTAAGCAAGCACAGGGCTCCAGGGCCAGAAGGAGCTGGCCAGACATCCACCTTCAGTGCTGACCGGCTGAGTGAGCCTGTCTCCTCACCTGTAAAAGACGGTATTAGCCATCTCCTGTGGCCACTGTGGGGATGACAGGAGGCTATTTACATGTAAGGTGTTTATGAAGTGTCTGGGGCGGGGCAAGAGCTCCAAAAACAGAAGGCAAATGGCCACACAGGTGCAAATGCGGGTTCTTTGGGCAGTCATGGTTGGGTGTTGGTGCTACCTTACCTTTGGTCCATCGGGGACGCCAAGCAGGCGGCATCTAAGGAATGTCCCATCTGTCCTTGGGCCGAAACCGAGACATGCCCCAGAGAAGGACCCCTCCTGCTCAACATTCAGAGGCACTGAGGTGAAGCATGCCAGCCACAAGAAGCTTTGGGGAGCAGACACCATCCCACACGTCGAGGGACCAATGGTCCCAGTAGACACTCAGTTGATGCCCATTCTGTGCGGTCGAGTACCATTCGGCCACTGACCAGCAGGCTTCTTAAATGCCCACTTCCGCAGGCATCGTGGGTTTCCAGAGGAGCAGTGCTCTTAGCAGGAAGGCCTGCCCACCAGCCAGCACTTGTCCCTGCAAACACTTCCCAAACAGCAGGATGCAGACCGAACTGAGCAATGTGATGCCTGAGCAAGGAAACTAGACTAGTTTTGGGGAGGGGAGTCGGGGGGTGGGGAGGAGGGTCTGGGTAAGCAGAAAAGCAAGACCAGGAGAAGGCATTTTTGGAGGCTGGCCATCCATTAACATCCGATGAGAACAGGATGCAAGTCAAATGCCAGATGAACTGCAAATTTTAAAAATGACTCAGGATGGGAGGAATGAGGAAGCTATGTCAGGGGATCATCTGCAAAGCCTTGAACTAATAAGGGTCTCATCGTTAGACCAATTGGCAACTGACAAAGAGAAAAGAGAAAGAGCATATCAAGATTCCTTTAGGGGCAGGGGCGCCTGGTTGGCTCAGTCGGTTAAGCGGCTGACTTTGGCCCAGGTCATGATCTCGCGGTCCGTGAGTTCGAGCCCCACGTCGGGCTCTGTGCTGACCGCTCAGAGCCTGGAGCCTGTTTCGGATTCTGTGTCTCCCTCTCTCTGACCCTCCCCTGTTCATGCTCCGTCTCTCTCTGTCTCAAAAATAAATAA